ATGACAACTTGGCCAAAGCACGATTGCCTGCATAGTCCCATGCAGCATATTTGGAGTGGAGTTTTGAGTTAGCAAGATGGCCTTGTGTATAAAGTATGTTAATTGCTGTCCAATAATAAAGCTCAGAGAAGCAATAAAAATAATGGTTCAGTTCAGTTCAGTCTCNGAGGGACAGTGGTTTCATTCTCACACACACAACAAGGTGATGACAACTTGGCCAAAGCACGATTGCCTGCATAGTCCCATGCAGCATATTTGGAGAGGAGTTTTGAGTTAGCAAGATGGCCTTGTGTATAAAGTATGTTAATTGCTGTCCAATAATAAAGCTCAGAGAAGCAATAAAAATAATGGGTCAGTTCAGTTAAGTTCAGTCTCTCAGTCATGTCCAACTCTTTGCGACCCCATGAATCACAGCACGCCAGGCCTCCCTGGCCATCACCAAGTCCTGGAGTTTACTTAGACTCATGCCCATTGAGTTGGTGATGCCATCCAGCCATCTCATCCTCTGTCGCCCCCTTCTCCTCCTGCCCCCAATCCCTCCCAGCATCATGGTCTTTTCCAACGAGTCAACTCTCCACATGACATGGCCAAAGTACTGGAGTTTCAGCTTCTAGCTACTAATAGTACTATACACCAGATGTTCTACTGTTGTATTTCTATTAGTGGATTTACTTAATTCTGTCAGTCAGATGCTATTATTTCCCTTTCACAGATGAAAAATCTTAGATACAGAGAGGGTAAATGACTTCCTCTAGGAAAAAAATATATTTACAGGTTTTGGAGATTAGGACCTGGGCCTCTTTGCATGCCATTACTCTGCTTAACTATGAATATGTTAGGTAACATTGTAAAGGGATATTAAGTTTGCAAATGGAGTTAAGGTTGCTAACCAGATGACCTTGAAGGGACTGTCATATATTCTCTTTGATAACTTAGTGTAATCCCAAGCATCCTTGAAGCATGGATGAGAGAGCAGAAAATTCAACACAAATGTGATGTAATGTAACAAATATTTGATTGGCCATCACGAGCTTTGAATATAGAAGAGAGTTATTAAAGTTTCTATAAACTGGAAAAGACAAGGAAATTAACTTTCCTCTAGAGTCTACAGGAAGGAACACAACCCTACCAATGCCTTGGGTTTAGCCCAATGAGACCTATTTCAGACTTCTTGACTTCAGAATTGTATGATTATTACACAGCTGTAATAAATTTGTGTCGTTTTATTCCATTAAGGACATAGATATGCACACACACCTATGCATATGTGTGCATTTGCATGTCAGTGTCAAGTGGTGAAAAATGCTATGAAAAAAAATCAGTTTGGTTGAAGAGTTATGGATAGGAAATGTTATCCGTATATATGGGTGATATATGATATATATATGTATATGTATATAATACCACTGTTTATATGGGGTGGTCAGGGATGAGATAATGTTTAAACAGAGATTTGAGTGAGATGAAAGTGCAAGATACGGGAGTATAACATTTCAGATGAAGAAACAGCAAGTACAAGTTTCTCCAAGTCAGAAGTACACTTTGCATCTTGGGAAATAGCCATAGGACAGAGGCAATAAGCCAGAGGAAAACTGTGGGATAGTGATTCTGTTGGTGGATACAAATGGGATAGTTATCCTAATGATTTCTGGAAAAGGAATAGGAATGAAGGTAGACTGAGACAATTTTTACTTTTGCCCTGTTATTTATATTTCTTTGAAGATGATGCATTACTTTTAAGTTTTTAAAGAATTTTCATTATAACACAGCATTACTTTTAAGTTTTTAAAGAATTTCATTATAACACAGCAGTACAAGATATATGAAGTACAGAAACAGGTATAAAGATGAACAGTGTACTGGCAGGGTTTTCATAACCTACTTGGTTCTGCTCAAAAATTGAGGGAAAGGAGTAAGAAAGAATCAAACCATGCTGTTGTTTGTTATTCAAGATTATTTGCTATCTATTTGCACTTTTACACATTCTCCATGCTAATTCTATATACACACCTCAGAAACAACATGTGCATTTGTATGTGTGTGGGCACATATGTTTGCTTGAAGCTGAATTATTTGGTATGAAGGGGAATATTTGGAAGTATAGAATGACAAAGATTATTTAAAAATCCATTTATAAATCCATACTTACCAGAACATCTTGAGGGTACTAATATTATGGAAACTCATAGATACTTTAGCAACATGGAGTACAATTGAGATCATAGGATTTCAGACTGCCTGAGTTCAAACCTTGGATCCACCACTTATCAGCTTAGGGACCTAGAGAACGTCATTCAACCTCTTAAAAAAAAAATTATTTTTTCCCATCTGAAAAGGGATATAATAGCACATGGCTGACAGAATTGTGATAATTAATACACCCACTAATAGAACTAAAACAGGCTTCCCAGATGGCTCCATGATAACAAATCCACCTGCAATGCAGGAGATGCTGGTTCCATCCCTGGGTTGCAAAGATCCCCTAGAGGAGGGCATGGCGACCCACTCCAGTATTCTTGGCTGGAGATTTCCATGGACAGAGGAGCCTGGCAGTCTATAGTCCATAGGGTCATAAAGAGTCAGATACAACTGAAGCACCTGAGCACACATGCAGAACTGAAACACTAGAACAGAACTTGCCTGGTGGTACAGTGGATAAGAATCCTGCCAGTGCCAGGCACACAGGTTCAGTCCCTGGTCTGGGAATGTTCCACATGCCGTGGAGCAACTAAGCCCATGCACAGCTACTGAAGCCCATATACCTAGAGCCGTGCTCTGCAACAAGGGAAGCCACCACATTGAGAAGCTCCATCTGCCATAACTAGATGAAGCCTGCACAGCCAGTGTTCAGTTCAGTTCAGTTGCTCAGTTGTGTCTGGCTCTTTGTGACCCCAAGGACCGCAGCACATCAGGCTTCCCTATCTGTCACCAACTCCCGGAGTTTACTCAAATTCATGTCCATTGAGTTGGTGATGCCATCCAACCATCTCATCCTCTGTCTTTCCCTTCTCCCACCATCAGTCTTTCCCAACTTTCCCATCATTCCCTATCTTTTCCATCAACTCGTTTCCAATGAGTCAATTCTTCGCATCAGGTGGCCAAAGTATTGGAGTTTCAGCTTCAGCATCAGTTCTCCCAATGAATATTCAGATTGATTTCCTTTAGGATGGACTGGTTGGATTATTACACATCCAGTGTAACCAATAAAAAAACAAAAAATAAAATACTAGAATAGTGTCTTGCATAACAGTAAGTGCTCAATATACTATTTTTGTGATTGCTTCTCTGGTCTTTATTATTGGACTGCAATTAACATACTTCATACTCTGATGACTTGCTCACTTGAAGCTTTTCTACAAATATGCTGCAAGAGACTACACAGGCAACTTTATTTCTTTAGATAGTTTGTCGTCATCTTGAATACATGTGCAAATGAAATCACTATAACTGTCCATGTTTAAAAGCAAAATGATCCAGCACATCATACTACCCCTAGACAATACAATTGTTCCAAATGCATTAGCCAGTAACTTTGCCTGGTGACTGCTTCTTGGCTTAAATATTACTTAAATATTTCATCAGAATAGACTTTACCAGTAATCTCTAAAAAACAAACAGACATCATGTTCCCTGGACAAAGTTAAAAAATACCTTATATAACATGATTGCAATTGAGTTTAATCTCTGGTCTTTATTCGAATAGATAAAGCTATAACTTCGAGGAAAACATTTTAAATAATGATTAGCATCAGCCTGGTTGAGTTTTTTCTTTCTTTTAGTCTTCTCTGCATGTGTGTGTGCTCAGTCATGTCTGACTCTGTGACATTTGAACCATAGCCTACTAGGCTCCTCTCTCATGGGATTCTCCAGACAGGAATACTGGAGTGGGTTGCCATGCTCTCCTCCAGGGGATCTTCCTGACCCAGGGATCAAACCCGCATCTCTTATGTCTCCTACATTGGCAGGCGGGTTCTGTATTACCACTAGCACCTCCTAGGAAGCCCTATGGGGGTTTAAAGACTTTATTACCATATGTAAAATAAATAGCCAACGGGAATTTGCTGTTTGGCTCAGGAAACTCAAACAGGGACTCTGTATCAACCTAGAGGGGTGGGATGGGGAAGGAGATGGGAGGGAGGTTCAAGAGGGAGGGGATATATGTATACCTATGGCTGATTCATGTTGAGGTTTGACAGAAAACAACAAAATTCTGTAACGCAATTATCCTTCAATAAAAAATTAATTTAAAAAAGGCTTTGATTCAAGAGTTTTCCATTTACAATCTAGATGACTTCATGCAAACTTCTCAATTTCCCTGTGTCTTGGTTTCCTTAATACTGTGCTCAAGAATTGCTTTTCCCTGTCTGTCAAAATCCCAATACAGTCTATATCATTCAGTGTTTCACTGTTTTGTGACAAAAGCAAGAGACAGGATTATCACTTTTATCCATTGCATACAGAAATATTAACCGACCATCCCAAGTCATCAGCTAGGCTTTTGGGCCGGGTCTTTTAGTTATTACAGATCTTTTTTCCATCAGACTACATTATTTAAATTAATAGAGCAAAATTTCTATTTTTTTAATTAAATAGGTCAAGACCACAAAGTGATTCAGAAGACTGATAAATCTTCTCTGTCAATAGGTCAAATATAAGATTTTTTAAAAAATGTATTATCCATTATACAAAGACTACTTTTATTCAAATCATAATTTTTATAAGTACCTTTTGTTCCATCAGGAATGAAGAGAGGATACCAAAATCATTCTAAATTTTCAACATTAATAAATTCTAAGCTGGAAATATCACCAAGGGAATACTTTTTCTGATTTAAAGACTGATGTATACCAAGATAAGCATCATTCTGTATTTTAATGTATGCTTCTTTCAAAAACTCTAATTTGAAATAGAGTGTTCTTTTAAAAAGACTGGCTGCCTTTTCTTGAAATAAAAATTCTCCCTTCACTTATTTTAGTTTGAAAATATAAAACTCATTCCACCTTGAATCCATTGCAGCAGTTTCTAGTTTTCTTTTTCTCAGAAGGTTGTGCCTCTGTGGTCTTATCCGAATGATGATTTTGGTCCATCATTGAATTGCATATATCATGTGAATGTTTTCAGGTGTTGATGATATTCAAAATGATCACCTTTTGAAAGAGAGAAAGCATGTTTTATTTCACACTAACAATTCAGAAATTAGAAAAACATCATGATCAACATCCATCAATAATTCCACAAATATTCATGTAGGATTTATTATGTCCTGATGAGGCAGAAATTGCTAGACAGTCTAAGACTCTGAGACCTTGGTTCTTTTTTAATTTCATTTTTTTCCTCTTCCCAAGTAAGCATCTCACTCTTTGTTCCAATTACCAGGCATTCAGAGGAATACCTCCTTGGTCTGGAGGGTCATAAAACATTCAGACCAAGGATAAGACAATCATTACCTGCTGTCCAGTTTATCAAGGGGTGGGGGGGGGTGGAATCCCCCAAACTCCAAGAAGACCATTAGCTCTTAAACATATCTTTGGTTCTTAAATAATGGTCTGGGGTCTTGAGAAAGTGTTGAGGGATGGCATCACAATGTCTAGAGAAACTGAGAAATGTGGGATCCAAAAAAGCCATAAAAATGACAAACTGGACTTTGTGACACTCAAACTGATTGGTCAAAAAAGATGTATGTTAAAGTCATGAGCCAACCAAAGATATACAGTTTGATACTAGTACAGATATGAAACTGCTGTAACCCCTGCCTTCTGGGTGCTCTTCACCCCCTCTCAGTGTCTATTCTGTGAGCTTTGTATCTCTCTCCTTTAAAATAAACTTTGCCTGTGTGAGTGTTTGCAAGTTTGCAGATTTCATTCTTTGGCTCCATGAACAGAACTCGGGTTTCACGTTTCACTGAACACTGAAATGCAAAATGAAGGAGAAGCACACACACACACACACACACACACACACACACACACACATTTCTAGTTTCAGTGAGATTATAATTTAGGAAGATAAATTTATAGAGGCAAACTTGAATCAACAAAGAAGGTAAAATAGAGTTATACGCTAGATTAGATTCAATAAATTATTAACAATATCTATTAGAAATAAGACTTGGGGAATTTCCTGATGGTACAGTGGATAGGAATCCACCTGCCAGTGAGGAGGACATGGGATCGATCCTGGTCCAGGAAAATTCCACGTGCCACAGAGGAATTCAACTCACACCACAACTATTGAGCCTGTGCTCTAGAGCCCTCGAGTCGCAACTACTGAGCTAGGAAGAGTAGTCCCTACTTGCCACAACTAGAGAAAATCTGTTCACAGCACAGCCAAATAAATATTTTTTTTAAAGAGAAAGAAAGAAAATTTTGTTACATTTTCTGCATGTCTACATTATAAGATCTAGGAAGACAAACACATGTTTGATTCATCTTTGCATACTCAGTCGTATCCAACCCTTCTTGACTCTATAGACTGTAGCCCACTAGGCTCCTCTGTCCATGGAATTGTCTGTGAAGAATACTGGAGTGAGTTGCCATTTCCTTCTCCAGGGGATCTTCCCAATCTGGGGATCAAACCCACATCTCTTGCCTCTCCTGAACTGGCAGGCAGATTCTTTAGCTCTGAGCCACCTGAGAAGCCCTTAATTCATCTTTATGTCTTTACAAAGTGTCAAACACTGCCTTCCACATAGTAGATAGTCAAAATGAGCAGAAAAAACAATGTAATGAATTATAATTAGAATGGCCTAAAAAGGTGTCATAGAGAAAATACCTCTGGAACCAGGCTAAAAAAGCAGGTAGAGTTTGGACTTGTTAAAAAGAGCTTGGTGTACTCTAAGTACCTCTCAGAGAGTCTATGGTCACGCCTAACATCACCATAACTGCAATTCCACTTTATTTTAATTAGTTAAACAGAATCATTCTTTTTCCTTGTATTTCTACTACTTTCCCGGACAGACTACTTGTCCTCACCTCTCTCCTCTTTTTGGGAAAAATATCCAGATAAAAAGTTGGAAAAGTAAGCACTTTTACCTTATTTCTGGAAAAATATTAAATTGTAATAAATCACTACAAATTAATTAAAAGTGGAATATCAATTCAGAGTTGACTCTAAACATTGTGACATTTTACCCTGACCTATACTGGTGGTACCGAGGTGGGGGCGGGGAGGGAAAAAGCACTCACTAACTTCTTAGATCTTTTACAGGTCTGTAAATAACTTAGTAATTTTAAATTAAATAACCTTAGCAATAATTATCAGGCTAGCCATTTTCCTGAATTGGAGAAGGGGACTGATATTTTTGAGTCCATAGTTTGTGCCAGGAACCAGGCTGAGCAGAATTTTTTCTCATTGAATCAGAGATAAAATTAACTTGAAAACCTATTTCCTCCCCTTGAGTCAAACTTGAGTTGAAACAAGTAACATCAAGGTGGGTAAGTAGCTTTGAAACACATCCCATTTCTCAATGTTTGCCAGCTAACTCTTCAACCCACATTATCCACTTGGAATCAAAGAAATCAAGAGCAAGTTTAATAATTCTATATAGTCAGTGATAATAATTGCCTTGTGGCATGTTTTGAGAAGATAATCAGAGGTTCGTATTTTCAGACTTGAAGTTCCACTTGGATAGACAGTAATAGGAATGGGATTTCAGACGTTATTGTTAAATTATCAATGTCTGATTTTCTGTCTTTTATTGTCAAAAACATAAGCCTAAGGCTCAGCTACCTCTAGAAGATAGGTTTGAAGGGCTTAGAATATACACATGTAGAAGACACACAGCATAAAATGTGTGATATTTATCATGTCCATCAAAACAATTTTTATCCTTGATATTTGTGGAAGTTTCTCAAATAAGAGAAACAATGAAGTTTGAGAATTTCAAAGATTCTTTCTTACCTGGACTTAGGATCCCACGGCAACAACCACAGGTCTATCCCTTTATCTGTTGTCAGAGTCTCTTGCTAAATAGATAGCTGCTATTTGTTTTTTTTTCAGTCCAATGATGATTAACTATCTTATTAGGTCATTGTCCTAGGCAAATAGAAGAAAATTGACTATTTATTATAAGAATCTCCACTGCACACATATTTTAAAAATTATATTAATAATGTCTCAGAAGTTACAAATTATTTGTATATAAATGTTCAAAAATTAAGCTTTATTTCTGAGAATAAGTTATATTTGCTTACTCAGTTTGCATATTTTTCTTTAAAAATACAAATACAACAGATTATCCAAAGTATTGAAACTCTTCCATATAAAGAAGACTACAAGGCAATTTTTAAAACTTGTCTATAGATTGCTTGAATGTTCAAAGGATCAAATACACTGTTTTTGCTCAATTCTATTTGTTGTGAATGTTGCTCAGTCATGTCCAACTATGTGCAACCTCATAGACTGTAGCCTGCCAGGTTCCTTTGTCCATGGAATTCTCCAGGCAAGACTATTGGGGTGGGTTGCCATTCCCTTCTCCAGCGTATCTTCCTGGCCCATGAATCAAACTCAGGTTTCCTTTATTGGAGGTGGATTCTTTACCAACTGAGCCATCAGGAATCCCCCTTTTGCTTGCTACTTGGGTGCAATTCTAACATGATGTGTCTGGATACCAGATGTCCCATGTGGAATAGTAAAAGTGCCAATTTATTATAAGATAGATTTTCTAAATGGCAAAATTTTTAAAGATGATGGAAGTCAAGACTACTTTGCATGATAGATTTCTTATATCAACGTCTGCAGAAAGATAGATCACACAATTTCTATTAACTTGGTGTTTAGAGAACGGGAGAGCTTGATCCTGTTGCAAGTTTTCTTGAGGAGGTATGCAGTTTCATCCTCTCATTCTTTCGTTAACTCACTCAAACATTTTTGAATCCCTATGATACCTCTTTAACCCAGTCATTTGACTCTGTTACGGAGGTGAACAGAAGTTAAGTAAAAGTGAAAGTGTTAGTCACTCAGTTATGTCCAACTTTTGAGACTTCATGTACTGTAGCCCGCCAGGGTCCTCTGTCCATGGAATTTCTTAGGCAAGAATACTGGAGTGGGTAGCCATTCCCTTTTTCAGGGGATCTTCCTGATCCAGGGGTCAAACTCAGGTCTGCTTCACATGTACTGGTGTAAGTGTCAACCTAAAAAATTGTCACAACCTAAAAGTTGAGTGTTATGCTTTACTTGGTGGGAATTTTTAGGACTTCAAGCATGAGACAGTGACTGTAGCCATGAAATTAAAAGACACTTGTCCTTGGAAAAAAAGCAGTGACAAACCTAGATAGCATATTAAAAAGCAGAAATATCACTTTGCCGACAAAAGTCCATGTAGTCCAAGCTATTATTTTTCCAGTAGTCATGTACAAAAGTGAGAGCTAGACCATAAAGAAGGTTGAGTGCTGAAGAACTGATGCTTCCAAACTGTGGTGCTGGAGAAGACTCTTGAGAGTTCCTTGGATAGCAAATAGATCAAACTAGTCAACCCTGAATATTCATTGGAAGTGCTGCTGCTGAAGCTGAAGCTCCAATATTTGGCCATCTGACACAGATAGCAGACTCATTGGAAAGGACCCTGATGCTGGGAAACTGAGGGCAAGAGGAGAAAGGGCGACAGAGGATGAGATGGTTGGATGGCATCACCGACTCAATGGTCATGAGTTTGAGCAAACTCTGGGAGATAGTGAAGGTCAGAGAGGCCTGGAGTGTTACAGTTCACGGTGTCAGAGAGTCGGGCATGACTTAGCTTCTGAACAACAACAAGCCCAGGAGACAGCATCTCAAGTAACCCTGAGAGAACTGCTCTGAGGAGGCAGGGGGAGGAATCAGGTTATAGAGAGGTTTGCAAGAAAGGGCAGTCTGAACATCAAAAGATTATTGTTAATAAAGGAAAAACAGATATCTCAAGGAATTTAGTGCTTTTCTGTGTATGGGAAGATAGAAGAGTTTGGGCTCATGAAATCATTCCATTCATTTGCATCTCAGCTATCTGGGGCCAGTATCTGACGTTTCTCACCCCCCTCCCAGCTCCTCAGTGCTAACATTAGGGCGTGACTAATGGCTGTTTGATAGCAGGTATTGTTCTTCCTGGGCCCCTCAGGGCTCAGAAATTCACATTTGGAGTCCCAGAGTTGTGGCTGGCTGTGAAACCCTTATTTGTTTATAGGACAGAAATACTCTATTTCTTAAAAGTAATATTCAAACCTTTCTTCTCTCACATGAATAAATAATGTATATTATATGTTTTATACATGTATGTTATTTATTATGCAGCATACTTACTATCATATATGTATAGGGATATGTGCATATACATATACATATAGCTATTATATAGAGATAGCAATGTGAATGTATATATATGTACATAGATATGCACATACACACGTGAATATATATATGCATATACTTGTAATGTGAAGATGCGAAGTGAAACTATTGTTATCCCTTATCTCTTCTTCAGGACAATCCTTGATACAACTGCAACAATATTTATTTAAGCCCTGTATCTCAGTTATTTGATCGATTAGTTCTATCCTGGCTTATTCTTGGAACTGATGGAACCACAGAAAGAACAAGAAAGTGTGGAGGGGAAAGGTTTAGGAAATCTCTGATTTCTCAATTAAAGGTAACTGAGAAAAGAAGATCTGGGGCTGGGAAGATTAGGGTTCAGCCTCCCAAATATTCCTCAGCAGAGCCAGCACCTATAGCAGTTGGGTGCCCACACCCAGGAGATTCTGATTCAGTTGACCAAAGATTATGACTTCTTAATAAGCACTCGACTGACCTTGTGTGTGACACTTGATTTTGAGAAGCACTGTGGCAGAGCTGGAGGATGTTTTGAATTGATTCTGTGCGCTTCCCTTTCATTCAGAGTCGGGATACAGTTTAGGTGTTCCTGTGCTAATAATTTTCTCTCTAAATTTCTATTCTACTCTAGTCGCACCACCTTGTTTTGAGACAACTGTAGAAAGAATGAAGGTAAAACAGGACAAGTTAACTAGACCCTTTCTAATCTAATCTAATCTCTGGTGAAATTCTGGAGTGTTTCCAGAGATCAAAGAACGTTTGCTCTTTTTCTTGCGTGACTGTTGAAGTAGAAAGAATGAAGGTAAAACAGGACAAGTTAACTAGACCCTTTCTAATCTAATCTAATCTCTGGTGAAATTCTGGAGTGTTTCCAGAGATCAAAGAACGTTTGCTCTTTTTCTTGCGTGACTGTTTAAGCACTTAGACCGTTCTCCTTGTGTGACTTGTGGAAGAATAAAAGTGGTCAGAGGAAAGACATTGCAACAGTTCTTTCAAGATCAATACTATGCTAACCTCCATAGGTCAATAGAATTGCAAAATTTCCTAAAAATAACCTTATTGATATTTACTGCAGACATAATCACCCCAGTTCTGATGATATGTTATAGTCTTTGAAATCTGATAGACTTTGATGCCAATGTGTCTCTGCCACTTGCTAGCAGTACGAACTCAAGTAGGTTATCTAAACTTTTCTGAGCATTAATATCTGCACCTATAAAGTAGGAAGACAATACTTGGATTAAGGATTAAATAAGATACATAAAGTGCTTTGCACAGTACTGGACAAATTATTGATTCAGTACTTAATAAGATACATTGTATGACATTAGTGTATTATAAATATTTAAAGCAATTACTTCATATGAAATGAATAAAAATAAAATCTCTGAGACACACTCCCAGCAGTTTTTTTTTTTTCCCCAGAAGCTTTTTATTTCCAGAGTGCTCAGATGTGTCCACAGGCATTATTGAGTGGGGAGCCTTCAGGCTCAAAGCCAATCTGCAGTTGCCTACTCCAAACTTCTCTTGGCAATGGTCAAGAGGCCGTTCTGTAGCATAACATTATAAATCAACTATATGCCAATAAAAGTTAATTTTAAAAAAGAGGTGGGGACTTCCTTGGCAGTCCAGTGGCTAAGGCTCTGCTCTTCCAATGCAGGGGGCATAGGTTTGATCCCTTGTCAAGGAACTAAGATCATGCATGCTGCCCCAAATCCCGAAAGCTTTTCAGCATGACCAAAAAAAAAGGGGGGGGGGGAAATAGTGAAAAAATTATTTTATAAAAAAGTGGGAAGCACTAGGAGGTTGCAGACTCCTGGAAAGAACTCACATCTTTCTACCCACCAAAGCTCTGTCATCATCATGATTGATCTTATTGTGGCCATCATCTCTCTTATGTTGATCACCACCACAAGAAGCAAGGGATTCTCTGATCATGCTTGTCAGCGACATTCTAATTTTCACATGACTCTGCACACACCTCTATTTGTCCCTCATCTCCTATCTCTCTCTCAGTGCTGAAATGAGATCCTTCTCTTGAGATTTTTTTGGAACTCATGAGTAATCGCAAGTATAATTCCCTTTACCTTCAGCCTTTTTCCTGACACATTTTGCCTCACATTCTTGCTCTCACTTAAACTTGGCCTTTCCCTGAAGACATTGCCTCTCTGGCTCCTGTGATCAATGATGGATGCATTGTTCTCCATTTTACACCACATTGGAAGCACTGGTTTCCAATTTGCCGCTTCCCTTTTTTTTTTCTTTTAAGGATTTTTTGGATGTGGACTATTTTAAAATTCTTTATTGAATTTGTTACAATATTACCTTTGTTTTATGTTTTCATTTTTTTGGTGGGGCTGTGAGGCATGTGGGATCTTAGCTTCCCAATGAGGGATTGAACCTGCACCCCCTGTATTTGAAGGTGAAGTCTTAACCACTGGACTTCGAGGGAAGGCCCTCCTTTCTGTTTTTAGACCTTCTCCCTTCTGAACCCATCGTTGTGAATCTCATATTTAAAGATCATCACTTCTTCATGGTGGAATCATCTACCAGTCCTTGAGTCTCTCCTACTTCTTCCATGAGTTTCAGCTGTTGGTTCAAAGCCAATCTCTCAAAGTATCCCTGCTGTCATAATTATTGGTAATGTCAATGGTCATGAAGAGAATACTTCTAATCCTTCCACTTCTTAGTTTTTCAACTTTCTCT